TCCAGGTGAGAATGTTGGGTCGACCAACCAGAAGGAAAGTGACCAAGATCCTATCCGGCGTAAACTTGAAGTAGCTGTAGCTCGGTGCAATCTCGCCTGCTGTCACCTGGGTTGCCGACATCGGCGAAGATCCACTTCGTCGACCTCCGACGTCACCCTGCAAGGAGCCTGCAGCCGCTGACGACCGCATCCCTCGCGCCTGAACGCCACCGACTTCATGGACTTTTCTAAACTGGATTCCGCATGCTATCACCTAGGCGTATAAAAATATATATGTATAAAAAAAGGGAGCTGAGAACTAAGGGCGCGTGTGTTCCGTCAAATGGAATTCGACTTTCCTTGTAGCGAAGTTTGAAAATTGCGGGAATAACACTGCAAACATGCAATCACACACGCAAGGTCGAACACCAAAATCGAACCTTTATGTTACCCAGTACATGCTCGCCAAGTCAACATTATGTCAATTTCTGTTTTGCAATGCAGTCGTCAATTTTGCATGGTGTTCGTACATGCCACAAACACACACGCTCGCATGAACATGCGCACGCGCGTTCACAACGCCAACTCGAGTCAAGTTCACTTTTCAAGATCGAACTTTCAAAAGCCCTAAATTTGCGATGTTTGTCAGATGCCCTACACGAATTATGTGAAACGGGTAACCACCCAAAGTTCAAACTTATTTTCGAACTTGGAAACGGAACATACGCGCCCTAACTGCAGGGTTGAACTAACTAGGAGCTCTTGTTACTTTGGGGTGTGAAGAACAGAATGAGGAATGATTGCATTGAGCAGCATGAGGAGTACAAGTAGGAAACCCTAACGTGTTGTACGCCATATGAACTACCCCACTACAGCCTACACAGGCTATAGCATATAAGTTTGACACACCCCTATAAGCAAAGTGGGGGAGAACAAGAGGTCACAAGACCAGTCAAGAGAACAAAGTAAGCTCAGGGTGGATCACGAAGTCACCACGCATTCTGAGCACAAGCAAATGGCCATAAGGCCAGTTCACATGCAGAGTTATATAAAGGCAAACGAACAATACAGTGATCACAACCTAGTAAGTGTAAGCATGCAGGTATATTTATTAAGAACACAGCACAAACAAAGTCAAGAAGTAAGCAAGTGTAACCCAGTGTGCACAAGGCCTAGAATAGTACAGAAACGCTGATGATCACAAGGCTGAAGTGCCTTGGTGAAAACATAAGCAGTGTTGGCCCGAGTGGCCATGTAGGCAAGACGAAGCTGACCACGCTGCTGCAGCTCTCGAGCAAGGAAGTATCACAGAGCGATGTGCTTCATTCTATGCTCCAGTCTGTGCTCCTGACACAAGGCAATCATGGCCTTGTTGTCGACGTACAGCATTGGAGGAGAACGAGGCGGCTCTCCCAGGTCGGCGAGCAGGTAGGTGAGCCAGCGTAACTCCTCTGTAGCCATGGCCCCTGCGTAGATCTCAGCCTCACAGCTGGAGCTGAGAACAGAGCTGGAGCCAAGACTAAAAGTGTAACCCTATGACGACCGCTGCGTAGCCAAGTTGTCAGCCCATGAAGCGTCTACGTGACCAGTGAGGATAACTCGAGCCCGTCCTCCAAACACGAGCCCCATGCCCGACGTACTGCACAAGTAGCACAACACCCTCTTAGCGGCATCCATGTGCTCCTTCCGGTGTCTCCCATGAGCAACATAGCGTGCCAGGATGCTAAGAGGGTACCGTATTCTCCCGGATAAAACACCCCCCCGTAATTGTACACCCTCGGGTAGCTAATACGGGTTGGGTGTTATATCCGACCCCGTTTGTACTATACCCCCCCTTTTGGGGTGATTTTCTATAACACCCCCCTTTTCTTATAGATTCATATTATAGCTGTTATCGAGTCCGATTCCTTACGGTAAGATATCGCGAGAATTGCTCCCTAGGTGGTATTTCGCGTGCACTTTCAGTTAGAATCTGCCAAGATTTCCCCCCTCCCACAATCTCGCTGTCGCCACGCTGGCGAATCTTCCGCTGCAAGTGGCCCAATAGGTGAAAATCACCTTCTCACATGAGGCACAGACACGTGACCAAACCAGTCAAGAAGTGACTGGTACAGTAAGAACGCACCACTGTGCGCGATTCTGGCCTCGGCGGTTGCATGAACCCTCGCCACGCAATTGGCTTTCTTTTCACCCTATCAAGTGCCAGAATCGCCCACTCGAATTTGCCACGTGGCAGATTCCAGTGGGCGGTCACGCTATCCTCGTATACTCGGTTTTGCGGCACTGGTCAACATTCTTGAAGTGGAGTCAGGCCCCTGATTTTGTTTCACATCTTTTCTACTTGATAAAAAATATACCGTATAATAAGACACGGGCATTATGTAGGATTTTCCTTTGAGGAGACCCCCCCCCATTTTTTTCCCAGTGGTTTTCATAATACCCTAGGGTGTTTTATCCGGGAGAATACGGTATGCCAGGCCAGGTCGAGTGCAGGTCATCAGGTACATGAGACAGCCCACAAGCTCTGGATACGGGCCACTCGGCTCTACGGACTCATCCGAAGGCAGAGCTGAGAGCGAGTGGCGAGTAGGCAGAGGAGTGGGCTGTGGCGAGGAGTACGTGAAGCCGAAGCGCTGAAGGACCTGATTCACCATGTGTGACTTAGTCAAAGTAATGGTGCGCTGTGCTCTGTCCCAGGTGATCTGTTAGCTAAGATAGCTGCGCAGCTCACCCAGGTCTGTGCACGTGTGCCTCTTCTACAGCTCCGACTTCACGTGGGCGAGTCCCTCAGTGTCAGAAGTAGCAAAGACCAAGTCGTCGACGTACACGAGGACGTAGAACGGCGGCAGAGAGGTGTCGGTGCATAGAAACAGCGACGGGTCACCAGTGGAAGGAGCAAAGCCAAGAGCCGCAAGGGTGGTCGTCACTGTGTCGTGCCACTCACGGGGCGCCTGGCGGAGACCGTAGACTGGCTGCCGAAGGCTCCACTGGGTACCTAATACGAGACTAACTTAACGGGTAACTTAGTTTAACTAAGGGCCTAGGCTTAGTAGCCTAGGCCAAATGGGAGTCGAGTAGTTTGTGCCAAGGAGAATTGAAGAATGGTTGGAGGTTCACTATAGCACACGAGTAGATATAGCAACCTAACAAAGGTGAAAGAGGTGCACCACCATACAAGGGAATTACACAACAGCTACACTACAGGCAGATTATACTAAATATATTTTAATCTATTGTGACACACCCCCTATCTGCCTGAAGTGCATAAGCATGTGCCGAGCCCCCCTTGAAGGGGTACACCTGTAAAACCCCATTACAGGGCGTGGGAACACCAGCAAGGGGCCCCCTCTGAAGCTGACAAGCAGCAACCACCAAGCAGCATCTAAACCACCGCGGTGGAACAGGTGCCCGGCTGCGGTTGAACGCCCCGCAGCTGGTGCACGGTGTGCGCGGAGCACGGGTACGGGTAGCGGGTTTGGGTAGCACGGGCGGACAGCACGGGCATGGGAACGGGGCAAGCACGGCGAACACGGGTGGACAGCATGGGCACGGGCACGGGGCAAGCAGGGGAAGTATGCGCAACACGGGGCAGCATAGGACCACGGGTTAGCACAAGAAGCACAAGAAGCACGAGTAGCACTGGATCACGGGAGCACGGGAGGCGCACGGCAGGGAATGAGAGGAGGAGGAGGCGGCAGTTGCTAACGCTGCAGCTGGACTTTCACCACCACCCCTTGAACCTCCCCCCAAACAGTAGCAGCAGTAGCAGTAGGAGAGAGGTGAAACTTCTGTCACCCCCTCACACTCCCCATAGCCTCCCCCTTGAGCCGCCACCTCCATTTTCGCCGCCTCCCCCACCACCCCTTCCACTGTCGCGCAAACACGGCAGCAGGCAGGCACGGTAGTGGGGGGGGCGACGAGGGTGCGCACGGACGGCGGGGAGCGTTCGGGCGGCACGGTTCTGGCGGCGGGTGGTGAGAATGGAGTGAGTACGGGGCGCGGACAGACTGGCGCTGGCGACGATCGAGCTGGCAGTCGTTGCTGGCCGTCCCCCCCCACAGCGACCATCGGGGGCATCGATCTAGGTGCGTGCTGGGCGCGGACGAGCTGGCGCTGGCGACGGTCGATGGCGGAGGTCGATGGCGGTCCTCGCAGACGGTGCATTTGTCACGGTTGGAGCTGGTTTGCGTCATTGTCGCGGCTGACGCTGGTCGGCGCAGATGTCGCTGTTGGTGCTGGTGGTTCGCGGCTGGCGGGGACGGGTAGCGGGACGACGGGATCGAGGGGCCGCGAAGACCTTGTGGGACGCGAAACGGGGGGTATTCGGGGCGCAAATCCGGGGGCATTCGGGGCGTGAAACAGGGACCTTCGGGGCGCGAATCGGAGAGCATTTGGGGCGCGAAATAGGGGGTCTTCGGGGCGCAAAACGAGGGAACTGCGGGGGTCTGAGCGACGGCAGGCTACGGGGCGTACGGGCGACGTGCGTCGGGCAACGAATCACAGGTTGGTGGGCCCATAAAATTGTACAGGCTAGGAACTTGCTAGCTCAATGCCATGTTACGAGACTAACTTAATGGGTAACTTAGTTTAACTAAGGGCCTAGGCTTAGTAGCCTAAGCCAAACGGGTGTCAAGTAGTTTGTGCCATGGAGAATTGAAGAATGGTTGGAGGTTCACTATAGCACACGAGTACATATAGCAACCTAACAAAGGTGAAAGAGGTGCACCACCAAACAAGGGAATTACACAACAGCTACACTACACGCAGATTATACTAAATAGATATAAATTTATTGTGACAGTACCAGCAGGAAATGACCCAGTGAAGCCAGGTGGGCGGCGCAGCCAGATCTCCTCGTGCAGGCTGCCCTGCAGGAAAGCAGTGCTGAAGTCAAGAGAGTGCAGCTCGTAGTCACGCTTAGCAGCTACGTGCAGCAGAACTCGAAGAGTGGTCATCTTCAAGGTGGGAGAGAAGGTCTGGAAGAAGTCAACTCCCTCTCGCTGACTAAAGCCTCGTGCAACTTAACGCGCCTTCAAGACATGCGGAGAACCCGGCAGGCGCTTCACCCTGAAAATCCACATGCCACTGACGATGTTCGCCCCACGCGGGGGAACCTCATCGACGTAGGTGCCTGTGGAATTCCAGGAAGCCATCTCTGCATCCATGGCTGTCTGCCACTGAGAGGAGTAGGGACCCTCTATCGCCTCTGCGTAAGAGCGCGGGGTCGGGATGTCTGGTGCATCCGGGTCTCCCTCAGGGGCAATTAGCATGGACACGAGATGAGGTACAGCAGCGGCAAAGCACTCAAACTCCTCCTGCCTCTCATCAAGGACGTTCGTGCTAAGAGCATACTCACCCCCGACGGACGGAGGACAGACAGACTCAGACTCAGCAACAAGACTAGCGGTGTAGTCTAGAAGACAGGCGGCAGCAAAGTCAACAAGCTCAGCAACTAGGGCAGACGCAGCAGTGGACTCAAACGACGAGTCAGTGACAACAGTGGCCAGGAGACGCGTGATAGTAGGACTAGCAGCACAAAGAGAGTCAGACTCCGGGTCAGGACCGTCAGCAAGGGAGGACGCAGGAGGATACGGCAGAGGGACACGCAGTGGAAGGACGTAGCGCCATCCGGTGCGTGCCTGGGACAGCAGGAGAACGTGGACGCGGAACACGATTACTAGTGCAAACATTTCGAACAGGCAACGCTGGACGAGATTCAGGCGACGCAGGACGAGACTCAGGCTCACGACGCTCCGTAAGACCTGTAGTCGGACCAGAGTAAGGAGAAGGACCAGGCAGTGGAGATGCTGGCTGTAGCTGCGACTGCGACGGGGCAGGCTGTGGACACAGGAAGGGAACAGTGTGACCAATAGAATGTGGTAGGTAAAGAACCTACTGAAGAAGTGGAACGAAGTACGGCTGTGGCCGCGCAGCACCTCCAGAACCCGCAGAGACAGTACAAGTACCCCCGGCTCCAAGGTCTGCAGCTCCAACTCCCGCAGCACCACCAGCTCCAGCACCTCCAGCAGCTCAAGCTCCAGGAGCACCTCTAGCAGTAACAACACTAGCGCCTCCAGCTCCAACTCCGGGAGCACCACTAGCCCCAGCACCTCGCTGGAGTCTCCAATGGCGAGCAAACCACTCGCGCAGCTGCGGTGGAGAGAGAGGTTCACGCCGAGACGAGGCACCTGCAGGAACTCCAGCAGACTCAGCACCACAGTCTCAGCACCTCCAAGTTCAGCACCCCCAGGCTTAGTACCCCCAGGCTAAGCACCCTCAAACTCAACAACACCGGGCTCAACACCCCCAGACTCCACACGCTTAGGCTCAGCACCCCCAGACTCACCAACCCCAGGCTCAGCACCCCCAAGCTCCGCACGCTCAGGCTCAGCACCCCCAGCAGCACCACCCCCAGTAGCAGCACTAGAGTCAACCGCTACCTCGACAGGCTCGAGAGCGTCTACGTGGGACACACCTGAGGGAGCAGGACCCTGAGGGGGGAGGGGGGGTGAGGAAGTGCGGCAGGGGGGGGAGAGAGGCAGTGCGGTGGGGGAAGAGCTGGTAAAAGAGAACCGACTCGTCGAACATGACGTCCTGAGAGGGCAAGACACGACGCGAGGTGGGGTGGTAAAACTGCCAGCCAGGCGCGTCAGGGACAAAGCAAAGGAAGACGCAGGGAATAGCTTTAGAGAGCTTGTCCGCGGTAGTATCGCGGAGAAAGGCACGAGAACCCCAGACCCGAAACACTGATGCATCGCCAACCTTCCCCGTCCAACGCAGTGTGGGCGAGGTCTCCGGCAAGGAGATACGGGGCCAAAGGTTGAGCTGATGCGCAGCGTAGCGGACCGCAAATGGCCACAGAAAATGGGGGGCAGCCGCATGGACCATGGAGGTACGAGCGACCTCCATGACTAAGCCAATGCGGCGCTCAGCAATCCCATTCTGCTGCGGTGAGGCCGGGAGCTTGAACGTCTGGCAAACGCCCTTCCCACGACAAAAGTCCCGCAGAAAGTCAGAGGCAAACTCACCACGACTGTCTACGTGCAGACGCAGGACGGGAATGTCCGTCCCGAACCGCTCGCGGAGCTGGAGATCGGCAGCGCGTATCCAGGGCATCAAAACATCAGGGACCTCACCCTTGGTGCGCAAGGGGAAGACCGTGGTGTAACGCGTGTAGTCGTCAACAACCAGCAAAAAGTACCGCTCGCGGTCCTGTCCACGGACGCGTCCATGTGTAGGGTCTGCAGGGGAGAAGTCGTTGGGGGAAACGAGGAGTAAGGAGCGGCGCGCTGCCGCCCCTCAACACAAGGAAGACAGGGAGGAGCAGGCGAGGGTGGGAGGGGAGGTAGAACCTTGGGAAGACCAGAGACAAGGACACGACGGTGCATGCCACGAAGCCGCTTCACCGAGGGGTGACCAAGACCGTGGTGCCAGAGGACGGTCTGGTGCGACAAAGGGCGACACGAGCAGGGGGCCGCTAGCTGACCTGACACAGAATCAGATGCAGCTACTTGAGAGGACACAGTAGTCAGTATGTACAGACTCGAGCCAGGCGCTCGAGTGAACGTGGCCAGGTGCCGACCAGTCCTGGAGCACTTACAGTGGGTCACACGCCCTCTAGGAGTGAACTGGTCAACCAATGCATCCTGGAGGTCAGCTCCACTCACCAAGCTCATAGAGAACGAGGGGAGGTGAAGATCCGACAATTAGCCAGACGGAACCGCCGGACACGGCACGACCGTGGAGAAGTGTGTAAGGACTAGGCCCCTAGAGGGGTCTGCCAGGGAGACTGCAACCGGCCGACTGAGAGGCGTGAGTGTGGTGCTGTCACGAGAGAAGGAGCGGGAAGCACCTGAGTCAAGTGTGAAGGTGTGCAAGGCCTCAGCAGGCGCAGTACCAGAGAGAGCTGACTCACCAGCACCTGGAGAAGCAAACTCACTGGCACCTAGAGTAGCAGCCTCACCAGCACCTAGAGCAGCAGACTCTATACCTGGGTCAGGCGGCACACACAGGTAACAGTCACCCTCAGCACTAATAGTCACATCATAGATGGCAGCAAGGATAGCATCATAGTCAAGAGTAAAGATTTCAACATTCTGCCTAAGCAGATCAGCCCAACTAGGAAGCTCAGTGGCGTCAGGAAACTGTGCGCGCCAGGCGTCAGACAGGTGATTGAAACAGCGCTACGACGTGTGTGGCCCTCCGCACGTCTCCCCACGGCGCCCGCCGGTGCGGAGAACGTAAGTGCAGGGACCAGCACCCCCAGACCTCCCAAGCCCGTGTTCCACTCACGAAGCTGCTGGGGCAATGGGGTCTCGCGGGAACGCGGCTGCTGCTGGCGCTGGCTACCACCAAAGCCTCCACGCTCCGCAGCGCCACCCCGACCAGCACCACCGCCATCGCCACCTCCACCGCCGCCGCTGCTGCCTCCACCGCTGCAGCCGCTGCCTCCACCACCGCTGCCGCTGCCTCCACCACCTCCACCGCCGCCACCGACGCCCCCACTCCCGCCACCACCCTTGCTTCCACCCCCACCCCCTCTGCCTCCTCCACTGCCACCACCGCCACCCCCGCCGTCCCCTCTACCACCCTTGCCCCCCTTGCCCTTGCTGCTGCGGCGCCTCCCACTAGGAGCAGATGCAGCCCCGACCTCCTCAGTGCCAAGGAGGTCGACAGCAGCAGCAGAAGCAATAGAGGGCAGAAGGGGAACGGGGGAACACCCCTCAAAGAACGGGGCGCGAGGGTCGCCGCGAGAAGCACCTACATCAACTATACTCTTCTCAGCTGCAGTGGGGCGCTCCTCTAGCAGGTCGACGGTGAGCTCGGTGGGGCAAAGGGAGAGAATGTGGTCCCTAACTGAGGAAAGGGAGTCAGGGAGACGGGTGACTAGGTAGAAGAGGATGATGTACATGGGGGGGGGGGGGGGGGGTCTTGGCGGCGTGCCTGCGTTGCTCCCGCAGAACAGCAGCCCACCAGCTTCGCAGGTGCTCGCAGATGAATAGCGTACTGAGCCTTGTCACCTGCACAACGCACACACCAAGTCAGCCTGGCGCTGACGACTGCATCTGATCATCCATGTCAGCCTCGGGATACCACCACCAAGGCCGGACTTGCCAACTTTGACAAAAGTAGAAGGAAGAAGAGGATTGCACTAGCAAGAATGGGGATATAAATAGCAAACCCTAGAGGGGTTGTACTCGCTATAGAGCACCCCACTACAGGCTAGAGCATAAGATAACATTCTGACAAACTTCGCTTGGGCGACCATCGCACTCCTCCGCAAAACCTCGTCGTCCAGGTAACCTGGTCCACCGGGCAACCACGTCGACCAGCTGCTCCTGTATGTGCCCGTCGACCTCCCCCCAAGTCGACCTCACCAGGTCGACCACACCTCTGGTCGACCAGCTCCAGGTCGACGTCACTCCTGGTCGACCAGTTCCACGTCGATCAGCGCAGTTGTCGTCGACCACCCAAGTCGGCTACCCGAAGTCGGCGTTACCAAGTTGACGCCGTGCTACTCGACGCCCAACTGCTTGGCGTCCTGAGTCGTGGTCGACGTCGGCCCCTCCTCTGTCGACCACCAGGTCAGGTCGACCCCCAGGTTGACATCACGCCTGGTCGACCAACCACCAAGTCGACCAGCAGACCTGTCAGTCGACCACCCAAGTCGGCTACCCCAAGTTGGCGTTACCAAGTTGACGCCCTCCGCAGGTCGACTTCCCACGTCGACCTCCTTGAAGTCGCCGCCACCCTGAAGTCGGCGCCCGTGCAGGTCGACCTCCTCGTCAACCAGCTCGCCCACTGCCGCAGGCCGGCTGCTCCCCTCATACCCAACCACGAAGTCGGCTCCGCCCAAGCGAGGATGGGGCCAACACACAACTCCCGTTGACACTCCCTGGCCGCGTTCACGCTTGGGCCCCCAGCCCACACAGCTGTACTTCTCGGAGAATAGGTCGTCGACGTGCACCTAACACACAGCACGTCGTCCACCACACCAGCCATGCAAGAGGGCATGGCACCTACTACTGCATGTCGTCATCTTCATCGCCTACGTCGACCAGGCGCACCTGGCCGATGGCGACGGAGCACCGGTCGAAGGCCGGATAGTGCAGCGCCTTCGTCATGAAGTCAGCCGGCTGCTCAGCGGTCGGGATGTACCTCAGCGAGAACTTCCCGCGCTCCACTATGTGCTGCAGCCAGGCCTGTTGCCGCCCCATGTGCTTGAGGTTGCCCGTCAACCCCATGCCCTCGGCGACCGTGATGGCCGACTTGTTGTCCACCCGGAGGACGGTCGGCTTCCCGACATCCAGCTGCCGGAACTCGGTGAGGAGGAAGCGAAGTCGGCGTCCCTCCTTGCCGCCGGCCACCACATACTCCGACTCGGTGGACGACAACATTGCACACTTGATGCGCTGGCTCGACCAGAATACTGCGGCTTCTCTATGGACGAACACGTAGCCGCCTATGCTCGTCCTGTTCTGCTTGTCGCCGGCGTCGTCGGTGTCCACGTAGCTGACCAGCTCTAGCGACTCAGGTCCACCGCCGAACTCCAGGCAAGGTAGGCGAGGCGGCGGTCGACCTCGCGCCAGTGCTAGTTGCTCCTCACCGTGAGGCCGCTCCCCAACTTGCTGCAGGCGAAGGCGATGTCCGGCCTTGTTTTCGTCGCCGCGAACTGCAGCAATCCGACCTTCTGCCGGTACTCCACCTCTTGTCGCTCCTGTGCCTCCTCGTCGTCGAAGGTGAGCTCGGTGTAGGCATCGACCGAAACTAGCGTCTTCGGGGTGCGTCCGGTCTGCTCCTCGTCGATGAAGCGCCTACGCAGTTTGTCGGCGTAGCCCTGCTGGTGCAGCCACAGCTTCCCCGCCGACCTGTCGCGGATGATCTCCAGCCCGAGGTACTTCTGCACCGGCAAGATCTCACGCAACTCGAAGGCGGACTCTAGCAGCTCCTTCAGCTCCTTTAGCATCTCGGTGCTGCTGCTGGCGGCGAGTAGGTCGTCGACGTAGACCAGATCCCAGCAGGCCACTCCGTCGTCGCCGACCTTGAAGTACAGAACCTCGTCGACCTGGCTCTTCTTCCTGTTAACGGGAATGGAGTGTTGGCCCCGCCCTCGCTTGGGCAACGCCGACAACTTGGTCGGATGTACGGGAGTAGCAGCCGACCGTTAACAGTGGGAGAGCTGCTCGATAGGTTTCGTCGAGCTGCATGGGACCGATGTGGTGTTGCTCTCGACCAGGGAGCTCAACAGCGGCAACTGACTAGTCTGGGCGACGGGTGGGCGTTGACTAGGAGGGACAGTTCGACCAGGAGGTCTCCTGAGCATCCCGTCGACCTACAGCTCGACCGCGAGGTCTCCGGAGCATCCCGTCGACCTGCAGCTCGACCGGGAGGTCTCCGGAGCATCCCGTTGACCTACAGCTCGACCGGGAGGTCTCTGGAGCATTCCGTTGACCTGCAACTCGACCGGGAGGTCTCCGGAGCATCCTGTCGACCTGCAGTTCGACCGGGAGGTTGACCGGAGCAGTCCATCGACCTGGCAAGTGAGCAGCGGTCAATGAGGGGAGCTTGGCGACAACCGCTGATGGTTCTGGTCGACGGAAGGGGGTCCGCCGACTAGAGGGTAGCTGTGGTCGACCAGGGGCGCCTGGTGGTCGACCAGAGGGACCCGGTGGTCGACCGGAGGCGCCTGGGGGGCGACCAGAGCGCTTGGTCAAGTTCTGCGGAGGCACACGAGGCACACGACGAGTTCTGCGGAGGCACACGAACGTCGTCCAGGTCGCGATGGCGCAGACGACTTCGGGCTGGTATCCCGAAGTCGATGTGGCTCGTCAAGCGCAGACAACAGCCAACGGATGCCCAACGAGGCAAGTCGGGCTAATCGTCTGCGCGCACCTGCGAGCGTGCGCACTGCTGTGTTCTACGGGGCAACGCTGGACAGCCGCTCTGCTGCAGCGTTGGCACGCCGTCGACCTGCTCTATTGGCAGGTCACCCTTCTGCAGTGCTGGCGCGGCTCCTCTACGCAACGCTGGTAGGCGATTGACCGAGCTGTGCTGGCGGTCGACCGGGCTAGCTGCAGGGTTGCTAGGTGCCTGATGTAGTCATTGTTGCCATCCCTTGTTTAACCAATTCTGTAATTTTGACTTTGCCTAGTGGAAACTCTTGCCGATTTCTCCCGTGAATGTGCAAGCACTAAGGAACTAAGCAAAGCTACGACCACTCCTAGTAGTTCGTGCCTACCCTCGTAGTCTAGCTCACTACCGTTGTAGAGTGACTCTCCGCATGGTGCGGTGAGCGTGGAACGAACACGCGACCTTCGGATAGGAGCCGAATTTCGCACCTACTAAGTCGTTCGTAGGCCGGCAGTAGCGACAGTCACCATGGTCGACGTCGTAGCTGATGCGGGTGTAGCTGACACCTTGGAGACACGCTTGGCTGATGTGAGGAAATGTCACCCGGATGGCGAGTACAGGACGATCCCCTTGTTGATCGTCGAGTTGGGCATCCGGTCGCAGTGGGCGACGAAACACCCTTCCCGTCCTGCATCTCCTCGACCGGGGCGCAACAAAGGTGGCGTCGACGACGAGGTCGACGGTGGTGCACGAGGCAGAGAGGGGTGATCAAGGTCGGCGTTGGTGTCGACGGAATCCAGGCGCGAGTGCAGCGGTCGACAGCGGCTGCAGACAGCTCGCGTGCCGACGTCGATGTTCGACGTCGCTCTCCTCTACGAAGTGGTGGAGGGCTCTCGGCGACGACGCATGTGACGGCGGGTGGGATTGCACCGGCGTATGGCTACTTCAAGTTCTCGCTGGACCGAATCATCGTCGCACTGCTGCAAGGTCGACGGGACCTCATCACCTGGAGGGAGTCGATCGAACCTCAGCTGGAGGTTGCCGGGCTGAAGGGCTTCGTCGACGGCACAGTGCCAATTCCGCCCGTGGACGATGTCGAGCTGCGCGGGGAGTTTCGAGCGGCTCACTTGCTCACCTTCATGGTCATCTCGAGGTTTTGCTCGTCGGTGGTGCAGCTGGCGCTCACGAGCTGCCGAGAGCGACTGGATGCTGGTCACCAGGCGTGGCACTTCATTCTGTCGACGTACCAGGTCACGGACGACCTGTACATCGGGCAGCTGGAAGAGAAGATGACTCACATTCGGATGGGCGATCAGGAGTCGGCGACGGATTACTGTAACCGTGCTCGACGGATCCTAGCCAAGATGCGGATGGCGGGCGCCGAATACTCGATAGAGTCCTACATCACCCACATCGTCAAAGGCTTGCTGCGCAACTACAATCTCATGAAGAGGATGATGATGGTGCCCGGCACGCGTGAGTCCCTCGATGAGAACTCCATCACCAGCTACATCCTTCAATATGAGGCGATGCAGGAGGCCGAACAGCCCATGGAGCTCCTTCCGCAGGCAAACTACGCTGCATCGACGAAGCTGAATCAGCAGCAAGGGCAGCGCGGAGGTGGTAGCGGAGGTGGGCGGTCGATGAAGGACGTCGACAAGAAGAGGTCGACGCGGGACAAGGGCCGAGGAGGTGGTGGTCGACGGCGGGAGTGCTGGATCTGCCACGACCCTGACCACCTTTCCTACGAGTGCCTTGACCGCGACGAAAGCGACGAGGATGACACCAAGGGAGGCCGTGGTCGGTCGACCAACCGCCGCCCCCGTCGAGATGCAAAGCCGCGCAAGGAGAAGCAGACATCGAAGAAGGCGTCGTTGACGAAGGACATCGACAGCTTCAGCGGCAAGGGCCGAGGCGACGGGGAGGCGTCGTGCTCGATGTTTGGCGTGGTGGAGCCGACAGTCTTGCTAGCGCCGGAGGTTGGCGAGGACTTCTAGGCGGTGGCGGCAGCTGTGCAGGCCAACCCGATGGCGGTACTGCTCGACAGCGGGTGCTCCCACC